GCGTGGGCGGGGGAGGGGGGGGGGGGGGGGGCAGGAATAAAAACTCGAGCGAGATAAAAAGGCCAAGAGGCATCAGCAACAAACATTTCCTTATCTGCGGCACGTCAGGAGCCCAAACTTACCACAACCAACAGGGACTGAACTCAAGAAGTACTTGTGAACACAGCCACACCAAGCTGTCAATGCTGCAGTGCTCCAGGACACCATCGTGCAGTACTTCAGCTGCTGGAGCCTTACAAATCAACTAAACAGCGAGTAAAGAAGAACATGGGCTCCTAAGAGTAGGATGTTGGAGTTTATGCAAAATTGTTTATCACATTGCTTGTACCCAGCTACCAGGAGCCCTTGGTAAGCCCCAGGCTGGGAAGTCACTGTTCAGAACCAAACTGAGAACCAAGCCACAGATCTTCACCTTCCCAATGCTTTAATTCAGACCCAGCCTTCATCCAGAAGCATTTCAACTTCTGCTACCACATTGTGGCTATAAGGTACCTACTGCTTTAGGGGCTCTGAACCTTTTGATAAGGCACAGCTTTTGTTTAGTTGTTATTTTAAACCAGGAGCCACTAGAGCAAGCATTTTGGCCACTGAGCAGAGCTGTATGGTGGAAGTTAACTATGTTCAGTATATCCCTCTGCACAGACACCGTGATTTGTTAGGTAAGATCATCTGGTTGTTGAGGTCAATTTATAAACCCATAAGAGGAACACTACTGCCTCTCAGTATTCACTGTGCTTTTGGCAAACTGAAACCTCTTTGTTGAGGTGGTCCAGGGGATTAAAGGACTGTAATTATTCCTCAGACTTTCTGCTTCGAGGTCGTTTCAAACAGGGTGCTTGCGTGCTAGGGTCTGAGACAGTAACAGTGCATGCACATGGGTAGAAAGCCACCTGCTGGTGACAGAAATACGTACCAGGCAAAAACATACGCAGAAAAATTCCAGTCAGTTCGTATTTTAGGACATTCCTCCTGCAAACCCAGGCTAGACACCACAGTCACAGCTCTAAAGCCACCTGTGAAAGGTCTGCATTTGTGTCAATGACTTGCACCTTCAAATTGCTTTACCAGCTCTTACTTAGGCCTAAGGAAACCTGAAGTTCATCATCCTTACCCCATCTCAGGCACTCCTAAACAACATTCCAAGGAGTTTGCCAGATAATGCCAAATGCTGCCCTGATGGCACAGAAGTCCTGATGCAGAAAGCTCATCATTCTTTTGATGGGATCACGAGGACAATTCAGATGGAACCAGGGCACCTGGTGAGCTTTCTCCAAACGTGATAGTAGCTGAAACAGCAGTTTAGGAATTGATTTAGCTGATGCAGTGTCTTTGTGTGCTTTATACATGCAATGTACCTAATCAGCCTTCATCAGTCTCCTGCAAGACTCACTCCCTTGGGACTCGCACCAGGACAGGAATGACCCAAACTCCTTCCACTATTTTGCCACAGTCAAATGAACACGATAAGCTCTTTGGGCAGTTGTTACCAAATCCCCTGACAGGGAGAACACTCACGACACCAAACGCTACGTATCTACCAGTGATGTCCCTTACCTGCCATGCTGTAAATGCTGATGCTCGAACTTCCAGCTTAAACTCCCCCCCGAACAGACAAGAACCAAGCTCAGTGATCTCAGACAGGGTGAAGCACAAACTAACTCTTGCGTTAGAGCTCCGCTACCAACAGAACGGCCCCATCGACTGAGCTCAGGGGCCGCAGCGTTCCGTGCAGCCCCGTGCCCGTTTAATGCCTCATTAGGGCCCACACCCCGCAGCCTGCGCCCAGCACCGCAAGACCCTGGTTCGGGGAGGCCCATTGTCCCCTAGAGAGGTGCCCCGGGACCCCTCCTCCAG